TTCTCTCCGTCTCATACCTTGCTGCATATGTGTTCAGTGGTTCACATGCTCGGCAAACTGAAATGCTTTCAGCACAGTTACCGGTAGACTCACCTTACTCCAAGTGATGACAGGATCTGGACTGCCCACTGCGTTGCACTGCAGCGTCACGCGACTACCAACAGCCACCGACTTATCCGCTGGGGTTGTCGTGAAGACCAGGGGCTGCACGGCTTCAGCGACAGTCAACAGGGCCGAGGCAGTGTTGGAGCCCCACTCGTTGGTGGCCTGGCAGGTGTAGAACCCAGCATCTGCCGTCTGGAGGTTGGTGATGCGGAGGGTTGTAGAGGTGGCAGTGAAACGGCCAGAGCTCTGTTAACAATAAAAAAAAATTGAGTTGGAATCATACCAAATAAGTACATCATTCCTTCGGACTGTTAGTTAATTACAAATGCCAACTGACGACAGGGAGCACGGTCAACGCACTGCGCTGCACCCCACAACAACATACATGCAGACTTGGGATGCTAAACAGTACACCCTACGCATGTGCATGTTGTTCCCCCAAACATGGCTGCTTAATTGAATATATTCACGTATCGGCCGTTTTGAATTGAAAGGGAGATGAAACTTTTCATTTTAGGACCACAAGAGTAAAAAATAACAGCGAAGAAATATAAGATCAATGAATAAAATCCATCCCATTTTTCTGTTTAGAATAATTTAAAATTTGTGATATGTTACATCTGAATATTCTAAGCCACATTTACATGTACCAGTAAATAAACTGAAAATGAGGTCTGGAACCAAAATAGACTGACACCATCCCATTTAAAAGATTACTGTTACAGGGTAAATTGTTAAACTCTGGCAACCCCAAACAAAACTTATTACTGCAAATGGTTGAGACTGCAGAGGGCGCTATTCATGAACGACTGGAATGCACTTCATTAAAAAGCTGCACTGATCTAGTTGCCACTCAAATCCATCCGCTACGTCATCTTTCTCTCACACTGCCACAGGTCAGTTTAATTGTTATTTTTATTGTTATATTGTAATTCAACTATCACAAATCAAGGATTGCTGCTTTATTGGATTTCCTTCTGTAAGATGTTTACGGATTGAAAAGATTAATATTGGTGTACACTCAAAACAATGTACGTTGCATCGTGTAATCATCATGTATTAGTACATGTGTGTCAAGTACAACTTTCACTTAGGACCAAAGTTTGGTCACTGTGTGAGTCAATTTCTCCTAGTTTAATGGACACTGCGTGTACCCGGTACATGCAAGAGAAAGTTATAAACTCTTCAAGCTGAGGCCAGAATGGCTAGAAGTAAACGTTTTTATTTCAGTTCCCTTTCCTGACATGTTCCGGTACAGACATGACAGACGTACACGTACATGTATGTTTGTCCACTGATGTAACCTATACATAATGCACATCTAGTGCATGTGCATGTATGATAATGGATTTCCTGTCTAATGTTCGCTACATGTACATTGTAGCAGACTATGTTATAGTGCACATGAAGTTGTAGAGTGAATACCTCAACAAACCACAGGGAGCTTGTTTGAGATGTCCTTGTGGCATGCCAGAAGCTGGTGTGATCAGCTATCAGGAACTTTGATGATTCACTGATTGTGTTCCCAGGAATAGACCATCACTGGTATGAGTGACTATATAGTAGCATAATTTGTGCTGTTGACAGACACCTGTACTATCAGACACATTTGAGAGACACAAATTTCCAACTGTCAAATTTTGCCATTATTTTTGGTTCACATATGTCATCACTGTTTCTGATTGTTGCCAAAGAAAGGTAAAGATAAATTGATCAGTATCTAAGAAATTACAGAAGTTTATTCTGAAGATATAACATTTGTAACATCGACAGATACTTTGTTTCTTAAATGTAAAAATTAAATTGAAAACATAATTGAAAATTACCTGCAATGTATTCAATACTCTTTTTAGTTTACTTTTAGAAATTTTTCATCTCATAAAAACAATTCCAGTGTAGAAAACACTGAAATTTATTTCAAGAAAAATATGCAACGTTTGTCACTGGACAGATATCACGTTTGTCACATGGACAGATATAATGTACATGTATGTCACACAGAAAGACATTTTTCTGGTGCTTGAATTACAGCATGAAAATAGAATTGTTCACAAACCAAACTTGTTTGTTTTCAGTTTTCAAAAACATTTTTGTTGAAAAGACTGTTAAACTTCAGCTGAAATGAATACTATGTAAGTCTTTCTCAATGAGTAACGTTTGTCACATGGACAGACATTACGTTAGTCACATACATGTATCATAACCTGGGGACAGACAGTCTTCTCACTTTCATTTCATGATTTGGGTTATGTGCACACGTGTAATTTGGACATAAGTGAATTATTCCATTTCATTTCAAGCGCAGTTACTGAATTTATTGACGATGCACGGTAGATGCGCATAATGCCCTATTATTTAATGGGGCCACAGGAAAAAACAAAGTTGTGTTGTTCTGGTTGCTACTCGAATCTGTATCTGCTCACTGCTTGTCATCTTTCTCTCACACTGCCACAGCAAACTGGTACCCTGGAGCCTGATGTTGTACTTAGAAATATATTGTGTGGCTCCAGGTCCCCGCACACCCTGGTACTTGTACACGTGTAAGGTGTTACACTGAGTATGACAGACTCAGGGGACAAGATAAAACATGGCTTCATGGCTTAGGGTTTCATCACTTCACATTGCCTGTCAAGACACCTGAAGTACTATGCACATCTGTTTTCGACTGGGTTTGTTGTTATTGTTAAACATAGTTTCTTCTCTCATCTGAGTTAGCCTTTGCACTGAACACATATCAACTGATGAGAAAAATTCACATTTTGGGCCACCCTGGACAAGAGCGGTGATTTTTAGAAATCTGTCTGCCAGACTGCATGTACAACGTACCGGTACGGGTCATGCACATCAGTGAAAACTCTTCACAGCTGAGCATGACAAACTGAATTATACCAGGCAAGATATGGGACGGAGGGGTACCCCCCTTACCTGTCCAATCAGAAAACACACTGTAGACTCTTGTTACCTAACATATCCCCCCCTAGACGTCTGTAAAGAATTCCTGAGATTCTGATCAAACAATGACCAACACAAGGCGGGGGATTCTCCCCGTCCCATATCTTGCTTCAAATAAAATAAATGCACTGCAAAATTGAAGAAAAAATACATGTTAAGGGGAGCTGCCTCATAAATGTGGCAATGAACGTGGTGAAATATGTGTACACAACATGTATGCCACTACGCTCTGGTTCTTTGGTCAGTGATGTCCACTGAAGGTGGCTCTGGAAAGACACCTGCTGAAACGCTGTAATAAGAATTTGGGTGATGGAGTGAGCTGGGCTGGTACCCGCAGGACTCCCACCCATGTATCTCCCTATGTACAGCCATGAGGGAAAGTTTATACATTTACGTACATGCACCTGCACATGTACATACACTTGGACTGGAAGTGGTAAGTCACATGCATCGGTATTGTGATTTGGGGAAGCCGGTCTTTTTCCATATCTGATCAGCAAGCATATGATGTTGCTCATATGAACTTGAAAAGAAAGCATTTACCGGTACATGTAACATAATGTCCTGACTGATCAACTCCAGAAGAGGAGTTGTTTCCAGGAACAGATGTAAAATCTTGAACAAAAACTGTAGTGAAAACAGTCCAAGTATATGTAGACACTGTACTTCCGAAAACAAACTGTATTGTAAGTGTTGAACATACCGGTATCTATTAAAGAACTTGATAGTAAAATGTTCCAGATGTCACTCACCACAAAATCATAATGTACACGTACCTGAGACATGGAGCAGGCAGACTGTTTCACTGCCATATTTACTTGTCTGATGAGGGTGGTGTTACCCCAAAGAAACACACTATGCATACTGACCAAAACAGCTTTTTGAAGTTTACATGTACATGTATCCGTATTTCACTGTGCATGTATGGTACATGCATGCACATTTATAGAGTAACTGATACTTCAACTCCATCAGTGTTCCTGGTCCCATCATTATTGCCCATGTCAAAATAACCACAGCCTACGTACACCTTCGTTATCCAATATCCTTATTGCCATTAGACTGTACGTAGCATGTTATCACTGCCATAATCATCATCATACCACACTAAAAAAATCGATATCACCACTTTCACACCCCTATCATTTCAAAGCCATCCCTGCACAACCATTCTACCCATATCACCGTCACCTCTGCTGATCTCGAAGTCATCACCGCCAACACTGCCACCATTATCATCTTAATGTCACCAGCAACATCTTCACACCACTCACCATCATCGCTTTTATCGTTGATGCTGGTGTAATCATAACCCAAAATGGCACGATCACAGCTACAAATGCTGATTTCTGCCCCTAACCCTTCTGCAGACAGCCATGGCCGCAGGAACGACAGTGGAGCCGGTGCTTGAGACGCTCAGCAGGAACCACCTGGAATGTGGCATCTGCAAGGAGAGGTACTCCCAGCCTAAGATACTCGCCTGCCTACACAGCTTTTGCCAGGCATGTCTGGAGCACTACCACACCAGGCGATATGATGGCGCTAGAAAGATTTCCTGCCCCTTGTGCCGACAGGAGATGCTCCTTCCCGAGCAGGGGGTCTCGGCGCTAAAAACCAACTTCTTCATAACCAGCCTGATGGCCGATATCGATCTCCAGAGACAGGTGGCCCAGGCTGCCACCACTTGTGAGATCTGTCAACAAACCAAAGCGGTCAGCCACCGATGTCTGGACTGCTCGCGGAACATCTGTCGGGGCTGCCTTCAGGCTCACCGACAATTCCCAGATTTGTTGAGGCACGAGGTGGCCACTCTGAAGGATATTCGCGAGGGGAAAGTAGCACTGGGCAGAAAGAGAAAGAATGCTGATGAGCCAAGCTGTGAAAAGCACCCAGGAGAGGTGAGGCGCTTCTTCTGCGAGACGTGCGACGTGCTGATCTGTAGGGATTGTACGGTTGTAGACCATCCCAGCTCTGCTGGTCATTGTTACAGCAATCGCAATATGGCTTCACATACACGGCGGTAATCGCTGACCGCATCCCTTGAAATGCTGAAGGATTACAAAAGTAGAGTTCGCAAATCTCTAACAGCCACTAATCAAATGAAGGACACGCTGACGCAACATGTGGCCGACTCCAAAAAGCGTTTGCGAGATGCCGTGCAAGAAATAAAGACTCGAGTGAGTAAGGAGGAAAGCCGCCTCATGGCCGAAATAGCCCAACTGGAGCGAGATCGCATGGAAAAGTTGGATGCACACTCTGCGTCACTGCAGCAGTTGTTGCAGAGATACGATGATTCTGCACAGATTGCTACGGATATCACCACCAACGCGTATGACAACGACTTCCTCTCCTTGTATCCTGAAATCAAGAGAGACCTGCAAGCTCTCTGCAAGGCACGCCCTCCCCAAATTGACCGGAATCTTTGTTCCTTGGGGTACCAGCAGAATACCAATGCTTCCAGGATAAATCTTGGCACAGTCACTTCGTACCAGTGCTGTACAGAGAACAATAAAATGTGGTTCCCGAAATACTATTAAAGCTACATGTAGGTGCCAGGTCGATTGTGTACATACATGTACTTTTAAGCACATTTTCAAAATACACAAGTAACGTGTACAAAATCTGACGGAACATGTCGAGTCATATCTCGGGCTTTGCTTTCTTCGGCCATGTGCGTAAACCTAAGTCTTGACATTCCTCTGTCATTTATCCGCAGGACAGACAGGCTTTGAATTTTCTGCTCGTGGAATAAATTCAAAATGGCAACCAATTGCATGAAAATACAGACGAAAGAAAAGACGAAGCATGTTTGTTCTTTTACATTTGAGTATTTGGGACCTGGAACCGGACCAGACCAAGGGAAGCTTGGAATCTTTTGCTTTCAAAATTATGTACATTTGGGACTGAAACAAGTTTATTGCACAGGAATGGCGGCGTGCACAGACTGCTAGTACATCTAATGAATGCACATGCGAAACGTCTCCCCTTACGTATTCTATACAGCGTAAGGTCATAAACCAGTCCACTCAGGTCCCTAGTACCTGTACTTATGTGTACTTGTTTGTGTGTGTGTACTTGTACATGTATGTACCTGCATGACAGGTACATGTACGTTGCAGTTTACCATGGGTTCATGCTGTGTATACAGACGGAGAAAAAAGCACATGATCATAGAGACACATCGCTCGGTCCACGTAGAAGAAAACTAGGCAGGGATCGTTCATGAAATACGACTGACAAGGCCGGCAACTGTTATGGGCAAATATCATGGTCACCGTTGGCGACTGGAATTAAACCTTTGGTTGCATATGATCATTTTTCAGGTGCAAATGTTTTGGTCGCACCGTACAGCGCTGCAGTCCAGCAGTTACATGTATGATAATTAGTCAGCAAGCAAAGGCTCCTCCTTCCTCCTTTGCAACAGGGCATTGGAATGGCTTGATACACAAAACTGTGACACGATGGTTGGCAAGTCAAGCAACTGACACCAAATTACACATTACGTGCCAGAGTGTCATACTGACGTATGCAGACAGTTGCGACTGTAGATTAGGAGCCATTCTGGTTTCAAAGGCTACGCATGTTTACGCCTGAAATGATCAATCTGACTTTGATCGGTCTCTTGTCGTGGTACATCAAAGCACCAATGTTGACTTTGGACTACTGCCTCAATGCGCACATTGGTTCTCGTCCTTTCGCTGCCCTTCTTTATCACAGTGGAAACCAGTATATTAGCACTGCATGTCGCGGGCTTGAGAATTCTGCTACAACAGGGATCAACCCATGTTGGTTTTATCTGCCGATCCCGATATTTTAACCGGGACGTCGTCCAATGTCTGATCTGATGTTTTCACCCATATTTTCAAACAATGTCCTTGAAAATGCCACCTTACGATGAAGGCCTAATAGTTTTACCTTTATTGTCACTAAGTTGAGAGAATAAAATGTGCATGTACATCAAATCGCTGCTTGCACGATAACGATAGAGCTCTGTCATACAGTATTCACACCCAATGCATGGGGGGCACATACGTAGCTTGCTCAAGTACAGTACATGTACATACACTCGGCACCTCGCGCTTAATCACTGGTCACACAGCACCTCATGGTGCCACAAACGGTGTAGTTCCCAGGCTCTGTTCATGGCATTTGATGGAAACGGTACACATGTACACTGACTGCTCCGTGGAGCCACGGAGTTATTGAGGTATGGATCACATTTACATGTAATGACCTGTATACGTACTTTACGTCAGTATAACCATGGACAACTGTTCATTTGTAACACCAAATGAGAAAACCCCATTTTTAATTCATGCTGAAATTTAAAAAATATGATATCTGTGTTCGCAGTTGTCAAAACTGGGTGCAGGGTTTGTTCCTTTCTTCAATTCAACATCGGCACTCATATCAGCAAAAACGGTCAATTTTTGCCACTCTGATGTGTTGCCGAACATCGGCCCAATCCAATGTGCGATCCGATCATCTGTTGATCCTTACATGCAATATACCGGGTAGCACATTGTTATTGGTACACTACACCATTACCTAAACGTCCGTCTTCCCACAAGAAAAAATCCAATGATGGAATATAAAAACAATCCCAAAAAATGACAAATTTGAGTAAAATGCACAGATTTCCATTTTATTTATTTCTCATTTGATTTTTACTTGTGATATGGCAATGTACCATAAGAACTGACGCGGTCACTGAAGTTTGTGAGGCGGGCCATCGTGCATTTGAACAGGAAGGGGAAATGCTAGTTCCAATCCAGAAAATCATGCTACATGTATCAGACAATGCTTACCTGAATGATGTTGCTCTGTGGGTTCAGCCACTGCACGGATGCAGACGGGCTCCCCGTGGTCTCACACTGGAAACTTGCTGTGCCACCCACGGCCACCGTCTTCGGGGACGGTGTGACCAAAAACCCCGGTCTCCCTGATAATATGATTTTTAAGAAGAAAACGCACAGAGTACATTTGATCAAGTACCTTGAAAACAATCTTATTTTTTATTTAAAAAAAATGCCCACAAGTTTGTGATTGTTTAACAATTGAGTTGACTTTGTAGTAAAGTGTGCAGTACAGCACCATGTAAGGATATCTCTTTCTGAGTTTGCGTGGATCTGAAAAGAACTGGAGGGTACTCAATACTTCGGACAGTACGGTCTGTCGTCAGGTTAGTGCTACCGAACTAACTTGCTACATTCACCATGAAAAGCTTCAAACCTCAATTGAGTTGACTGATTAGAGACCAGCCTATTATATAGCCTGTGGTCTATACATGTACATGTAGATAGTTGGTTGCATTAATGTTAGAAATATCCGCTTGTTCTGTGAACCAGACCTACCTGTGTAAGCTGGTTTTAACTTGACTAAAGTTGGTTTCATGCTTCATACAGCTAGTGTACTTACTTTTGTTGGGAAAATATCAAGATGTAGTTGACATGAAGGTTTAACACTGTATACTGGTACTTTGATGTCATTTCAGTTCTTTTATGCCACTTATGATTAATCTTTGAGTATATTATGCAAGTAGCTAACTTTGTACGAAACTTCATTTAAGAGAAAAACATGACCATTAGAAATTCATATAAACTAACAATATATAAAGTAGAACATATGTATCTTTTCACAACTTTATATATCTGAATAGAGGCGTTTCACAATAGCGCGCCTCCAGGTGTTTGCTACGCGTTGAATAATCACAGTACGCAAAATCTGCGCATTTGGAAAGGGTCAACAGCTTTCACACACTGTGACTGGTCAAAGCGTTCCAAACTCTTGGAGGCGCAGTATTGTGAATCATCCGTATTTTGTGACTGAATGTTGTATGTTCAACCAAAAAAGACGGTGAAAATGCTGCTATGCTGCATTTTCTGTTGCCAATATGAGTTAAAAAGTGTGTTCTACAAACTACATGTGCCCTTAGCCTCACTGTGAAAAAAGTATTGTCCAAAAAGTGTTTGCCATTACCAATAAGCGTCAGTGTTGCAGTATCGCTGTACACCGCTGAATTTGGCAAGAGGCGGTTGGTCCCCAAGCAACGGTACTGCCCCCCGTGGCGGTGCTCCAGGCTGGCGATGGTCAACGTGCTCCTGGTGGCAGAGTCAACCGTCGTCACGGTGACTGCTGTCCCCGCAGCAATGTCCCCGCCTTTGAAGAGCCAGGAGATGGCGGCCTGGGGGTGGCTGGCAATGGTGCAGTGGAGGGAGGCAGACCCGCCCAGATTGAGGCTCTGAGATTGGGGGTTGGCGCTGAAACTGTTGCTGAGAGCTAGGAGCAAACATTGAAAAACTGCAAATTTAGAAGGATGCCATCGGTAAACCTAGGTCTCTGAACACAGCAAGTAATGAGGAACATTTCACACAACAAACACAAAGATCAATCAGGCAATTTTCACGCAGCTGGTGAGCACTTGTTCCTCATCAAATTCACTGCCAGTAGTTCTTACAAAGTTGTAGCTACATGTACATGTACATGTATAAGCAAGTGTTTCTGAGCTTCACAATTTTTTACATCAAGTGAGCATCGCTATAAAGTTAACACACTACATGTATATGTATGTACAATGTTGTTGAGTAATTTTTTTACAAGTGGCATATAAACCGATAGACTTTATGATGTTCCTGATGAGGTTGTACAAGGATTCTCTAAGAACTTAAGTAAATTCCCACAAGGAGATAAATACACGTAAGTTTGTATATATCTGTTATCACAAGGTTTCAACTATAAGTGCGTGATTGAGACATCAGTAGACGTATGATTACTGTTACATATACATGTACATCATGTGGTAACCACACTAGTTTCATTTAACTCCAACCAAAGTTAAGAGACATTTTAGCCACAACCTTGTCCCCAGCGGTTACTTCCTTTCCAGCTTGGCCTCCAGTAGTAACCCCTGAAAAGGAAACTTTTACCCGTATCCTAATTCAATGCAGCAAGAGTGAGGGAGCAGTATACCGGTAGCTTGTGTATTTGGTGTTTATAATTTTACCCATGTATTAATTATTGTCACGTTTGCTGTGAATTATTACATCCAACAATTCCGTCTTCTCCATTGTGATTATAATCATAACATAAATAATTTTGTTATCATAAAATAAACGTGACTGCATATTGGTTGGCAGAGATTTTAACTCTTTTATATTTAAAAGCTGCAATCCCTGTTACGCGTACAACATGCTGCAAAAGAATTGACCCTGTGTTAATACTAGACACTGCATGCAAAAACAAATGCTGAGTGAAAGCACAGCCAGGCACCAGACTATTCTTCATCAACATGTACAGTACATGTACATCCAAAATTTGTGGAAACAAAAATGATCCAATTCCAGGGTGAGAGAGAGCAGGTGGCCCCGGTGACGCCCTGCTCCCCACCATTGGGACGGAACTATTTTGGCTGGTAACCTGCCTCTGCTGAATGCAAGTTTACATCAATCCTCGGTGGATTGCCTTATAAAGTTTTTTACAATTAAGACTAAATTTATTTGCACGTCACCTGAATCAATGTACCAGTAACAAAATTTTGTACCGCGTAGTATTTTAAACTAACAGCCGCAATTTGCTAAAAGCTAACCTGGTGACAGAATAAATTTTCTGTTGTTGCATTTTTCTGAAATTTGTCATGAAATCACTCTGCGGTCATTACGCTGTGGTATGAATTATCAGAATGTCTATCATTTGAAAGATTTATTGACGTTTGTACCCCTCTGCAGAGACGTTATTCAAATAATCTAACTCTGTCTTTCTTTCACAACCCTCTAATGTGAGCCAGTGAGATCTCCCAGTCAGAATGATATACAGTACATGTTTCACTGAAGCACACTAGAATTAGCTGATCTTTATAGAATGTATAGCACTGTGTACATTGGCTTACTGAGCATCTAAATGGAGAGGACAAGGCGAGCATCCTTCCTTCGCCCCCCCCCCAAATTTTAAAAAGGTAAAAAAACAAGGGGCTTTAAAAGAACTGAAATAGAGATGAAAGGGTTGAAAATAATGCATTTTCTAGTAAAAATCCTCCAAGCTGACCAACCCACACTGTTAACTGTTTAGATTTTTTTTCAGGCGAGCCTATTCCCCCCCCCAAAAAAAATATTTTTCCCCCTCCCCCCACAGAAAAATCCTGGCCATGTACATGATCAGTAACTCCTGAAGGCACCAGTGGAGGCAATGTCCAAGTACATGTGTAGGATCTGCGAACGCTGCTTGATATGGTACTGGTACTTGGAAATGTACTATACAGTGTGCATGCATTTGTCTAGGTGGATTTGTTTCGCTTCCCTATCACGGCAGGCAATTTTGTTGGGGTGGTCGTCCGCCTTTGACAGTGAGCTCAACCTACTCTCCTCCGGTTGCTGATGGATGACAGAGACTGGTGTCTCCGAGGTATACATGTAACTGACGGCATTATGAACTGGGAAATCTGCAGAGGCCAGGTGCCAGAATCTCACTGGTCACCATGGTAACAGTTTCTAGTTTAGCAAGAATAACAACTTGTACATGCATGGCATGTACCGTAGTTTTATTTAATCACTCTCAAATTGAAGTACCTTAATGCTGATTGGCTTTTATTTTCCTAAATATCCTCACTTGGAATTGTGAATACCTTAATTGCTTGTGTGTTTGTTGTGGGTTTGGGGTATCTTTCAGAAGTTTGCCCTGCCGTTTTGGAAATTGTCTCAACCATAATCTTCTTTCATCTTTCATGTTTGCAGTTCAGCTGCTCTTTTGAAAACAAGAGTTAAAGTCAAGAAATAGACCAGACATGCTTCTACAATCTTCCATGTTTGAGAACCTGGGGAAGAATGAGCACGAGTGTGCCCTCACTGGTGAAAAAGAAAGAGGCTGGGCTGACTGACTGCTGTTCCTTGGGAAACACAACCAAACAAAGGAATACCAAATTGAAAGAAGGGCCCAACTCCAACAAAACCATTTTTGAGTTCAAACGAAAGAACTGACAATATTTTTTGACGGAGTTGCACAGGAAATCAATTAACTCTCCTTGGCCAAAATGGTAGAGTTGGGCCTTTCTTTTTAATCCTATTTCTGGTTTCCTGGAGGCCTGTTTGTATCACACGTCAGTGATCAGTGATCTGTCACTGGTTCACCGACACTGAAACCTGCCTAATGAATAGTGTGAACCAGCCTCATCCAGATCTCTGTGAAACATACAGGCCCTTTATAGTTGACAGTAGAGGTACGGGCATCACAGGCAAGGTGGCAGGGGGTACTTGCTATCCAGAAATTTAGAATTAAAGGAAGAAAAGACAGATAAAGAGAAACAAAAAATACAGGGAATGAAAATGGTCAAAATGGCCAACTTGTGTGAAAACGCCTTGGAATTGACCCCTTGCAACGTTAATGATCGTTCTGCTGCTGATTAAAGGTTTTGTGCCCTCAAAGGAAAAATCCTGGCACCACCCGCACGTGGAGGCAACTTTGAACGAGTTTTGTGAACAAGCTCTCATGTACAATCCACGACACTCTCTTGAACTTACTTGCTAACGTCAACAGGGCCTCTCCACTGGTGACGATCTCCCCTCTCGATGTCCGGGCCTGGCATGTGTAAGAGCCCACGTCCGATTGGCCAACACTGAGGATATGGAGCGTCCCATTGGACAGCACATTGTAGTTGGGCTGGCCATTGAGGGGCTGGCCACCCCGGGACCAGGTGTAAGTGACCGGCTGGTCGCTGTGGGCGGCGCAGTGCCACCAAGTGGGCTGAGTTGCCACGGCGATGTGGTTGCCTGGCTCCTGAGTGAACTGGAGGCCCAACGCGCCTGATCAAGAATCGATAGATTAAATCTCAGGACAAAACTCAGAGACAAACACTGGGAGAAGACTCAATACATTAGACTGACCTTTTTTGGATTCTTGAATGATGTGATAATCGAACTGGGGTTTAAGAATATCAAGATGCAGACCTGCCAAGCTTGCCGTACTCCTTCCTGAGGTCAGGCATTACCACACAATAAATAAAAGGTATTTAAATGAGCCTTCAGTTCATTCAAATTTTTAATCTATTGTGTGGTAATGCCTGACTTCAGGAAGGAGTACGGCATGTTGGCAGGTCTGTACATGTACCGGTAGGTTTGTTAACGGTAGATCTGGCATGTCTGGGGCAACACATTTTCGTATTGCTGTGGCTCATGGTAGTTCATATATACATGTACAATGAACACGGGGTCCACACTATCACCTCAGGTGGCGTGGGGTGGAACATCACAAGAACAATAGGTATGATATGATGCTTATACGTATAAATGTTTTTTGGTCGATAGGGGAACTGCTGCTCGTCGAGGGGCAGACGGCCTCATCATCCCTACTGACAAGTCTACTTCAGCCCATGCATTCCGTCTCCCAATTATAGATACGTGCACACACGACAGACGGGTCGATGTAGTGGCATATCCAGCGGGGGAGGGACAATGCCCCCCCCCCAGGTAGGTAACCCCCAGGGGGAATGGAATGTGCAAACATCTCAAGAAGAAATAGTAAAGTCACCTTCTGGGAGAGGGAAGAGTCTTTCCGGAATCCCCTCCAAAAAAAGGGACGATCTTCTTAAATGCAAAAGAAAAATTGTGCTTCTCCCCTCAGACTCCAAACCTAGAGACAGCATTTGGTCTCGAGTTAACATTTTGCATTCCTGACTTCTTTTCACCTTAGTCAAAGTCTGGGGAATTGTTCACTCTGATATTTACCGTTAAACACAAATGAGTTGAGGATGACAGCACCAATGATGAGGAAATTACGCTGCCAGCATTCACATCTTCCCATGACTACAACTGCCTGCAAGACAAACAAGGGCATGTAAGGGTCACTTGAATGTCCACTTTGTCTACTTCAAATGAAAGTGACCACAGTGAAAGACAGACTTTCTACAACGTTCAGCTAAAAGGGTCAGAATTTACGTTTAATTTGAAAAATGTTTACAAAACTTTCCAATGCCGTTTAGACGTTTAGCCAACACTTTATACAGGCTGCTGCTGCCTGCCTCGGTGTTTTCATACATGTACATGTATACATAATTATACAAATGTAGTTCAACAATGCACATGGTCTTACCTACGATGTAAAAATGTAGATTGATGTTTGGGCATTTAAAACAAGCAACAATTATTGTTTTAGAATCCACTTTGTTCTCAGAAAGTACATGTACATGGATGCCAAAAGGGAAAAAACCCAGTATGTATTAGGCATTGTTTACAATAAAAATAACTCCAGATTGGGTTAAAACATTAAACCTCTTTAAGGGCAGTTCTGTTTAACCCCTTCGCTCTGGGAGACGGCAAGAGCCGCGGCCGTGAGGATTAGTGCATACCACACATACAGTCTATTCACCATGCAGCTGCTGGTTCAATGGGGCCTGCTGCTGGACAAAGCCCTCCATTCTGGGCATACCGCAGCCCAGCAGTCATGGTCAAAGGAATTAATGACGCGAAGGGGTTAAACATGTGGGAAAATCTGTAAGGAACTTCTTTTATTTAAATGTTTAAATGTGCAAACGTCCCACCCTTCTTAGTTATATAAACTCACACAATTAGTACATGTACTCAATTAGTTCATGTACACAATTAGTACATGTACACAATTAGTACATGTACATGTATCGCTCACTGAAACTGAGAATGTGAGTACATGCTTTTCAAATACATGTAGGTTCGCTGTTACTTGAGATGCTTTTTATGGACAAATTTCTGTGAAAAACAAAAGTTTCCTTATTCTTCAGAATGGATAAAAATTGCAGATATTTTGGCATGACTGCTGGATTTCCAATCACGTTGTCTTTAATCAATCCTGTACAAAATCTGTTGCTAACACGAGTCAATCATCTTAAATTCTTTCTTATTCACGGCTGTTAAGGAGCGTCTTGCAAAGAGGAATTAAAGTCGGAGATTTCAGGAAGGATCCACAAACAGTGGAGCATCATTAACTGATTAGAACCCAACACGGGTTCAGTTTCCACCTCACCTATTCACTTGTGTGCATTTGATAAGCACTGTCTACGCAGAGATCTACATGTACATACATACAATCCATACTCATGATCTGTCAACTCAGTTCAATCCTGTGAAAAATCACCTTTTTAATTCCCCTTTCAAAACTACCTCTTAACTGCTCAAATCGGAAGAGAGGTGATCAACTAAAGCAACAGTAAAACCCAGAAACTGGACAACTAATCCACTGACCAACCCAACTGCAGTAAACGTGTAAACTTGAAGCATAAAAACCTGACAACCACGGCATTGTTTAGAACCAAAGACTGAAGAACGAAAACATTGATGAGAAGTGTGCATATGATACATGATGACACATACCTGTCCTAAATACATGTAGCAATCTTCACCTACCGGTACATGTACATGTACTGCATTTACAAACATGACTCACACAGGTGCACAATGTACACTGTACATGTACCTTGTACTGTTCTATTGAACTGTTGAACATTGATCACCAGACATGCAAGAAGAAGAAACCCACAATAAAAGAATAAAAAGCGTAAAAAAATTGAAAATAACAACAAAAACCCCCAAACGTAAACACGGAGGATGCATGGCCTACTACCGTTACTCATACTAGTCTGGTGAAGTAAAAGTGGCTACCGTAGGATGGCTGTATGACTACATGTAAGTACTTGAGTAAGAGACATGGCCAGATGTCAGATGGTCATGATGGTTGGGCTAGCCTTATATTAGTTATAGTCTGAGTACTACATGTAGTTTGCTGGACTGCAAGGCACTACTTCAAGCTTGCAGGTTGCAAACTTTTAATGGGTTCGTAAAGCTGTGGGATTTCAAATGCAGCCCTGCATTGTCCCTCGATTTTTTGGAAGAAACTGCACTTTCTCAACCAAATCTTCTATAGGCCTACTAGAATTTTGCAATCTTGCAGTCTGTCACAGCATGGAGGAATATTCCTCCATCGTCACAGCTACGGTACACGTACATGTACTGTACATGTACACAGAGCAACCATGTTGCATGCCCTGATGGTATCAACTTATACATGTTACAATCCAAGTATTGAAGTAACACAACAAGAACGGTGGAGCAATGAAAACAAGATTTCTCTACTAAATTTGACTTTCTGTTTCATGTTATTGCATTCAAATGGCCAATGGGCATGATGGGTAAACTTAAGTTAAAGAAAAACAGTTACTTGTATGGAATTCTTTCCCTGAAAAATTCCAAGTGTTTTCTAAGAGTAAGACTAGTACTTCAGTACTAGTAGTAGGCCTAAATGACTCGGTACTGAGGATTTTCCCTCCTAAAATTGAAATTTTCTGAACAGCTTTTTGTTTTTTGATGGCTAAGGCCTAGGCCAATAATACCTGAATATTACTAGTACTATATGTCACTGTAACAGAATAATTACTAGAGTCTGTAGGCCTAACTAATTTAGGCCTAGGCTATATCATATGGCATTCTTTCCTTTTTTCGGACCAGTGACCCAAACTGTCAGTCGTGTAATGCATGCATGGTATGTGTCAGTCATGTCATGTCAGTGTCAAACTGACTCAAACCGAGTCTTGTCGCTTTGTCTGTTTTGACCCAAAAAGGGTTTAGCACGGGGTGTCAGTTGACGACCACAAATGGAACTCTTTCTGGAATGTTTCCAGAGTGGGGACTGCGTTTTAAAAAATGCGTACATTCTACCAAAATGTAGAGAAATTACACGTACAACTCAGGGGTTTGGCAGTTTACCCTTTGGAGGAATTCCATTCGTTTCTAGGCAAAGAACGCTGAACTCATAGCCGCCATGTTGAAAACGACAATCCAGTCGAATCCCCAGTCTCAAACCACGTCATTCTAACTGAATCGGAAAATAAAACCAGCCTAAAACTGACCTAGTCTGGTTACCTGTCCTGCGTAAGGTAAAATCGAGCGCATTTCATTTGGTCAACCCAGTCCATTTTGCGCTTGCCCGCCCAAGGGAAATTTCACACGTAGGATTTCCCCCGAGTAGTTAACACGTACGTACGTCGCGTTGCGGATTGTCTTTGCTGGCAGTGGTTTTCCTGCTCCTGGATGCGATGACTGAAACAAGTCACATTGTGACAGACAGCGTCGTATATACATGTAGTACTCAGTGATACTGAGAGCAAGGACAGAGACCTACTGTCCAGTCTTGTTAAGTTTGTTTCAATTTCGATTTTTTGAACACAGTTTCTACACACGTACAGTACACCATGGGGGACGGTTCATCTCGCGACGACAGGACTGTATACGTTAAAAATCTGGATATCCGAGTCACCGAAGAGATCCTTTTTGAATTGTTTTTGCAGGTAGGCATGGCATCGAATAGGCATGATAGGATGTAGGCCTAGCCCAGGTAGACTCCCTGACCGTACTACATTACGGAGGTAATGAAATGAAGACATCGTCCAACCTGGGCTAGCCTACCCCTAGCCCCACTAGTGTGGCAGGGACTCTCACTCCCGCTCCATCCTTAGCCACACATCAGTATACGCAATTTGCGTGTCGGCGTAGTGAAAAAGTATGGTGCACCCTCTTATAATCGTAGGTGTAATTTTTTTTGCACACAGAGATCATGTCCAAACTGCTGCCCAAATTTTGGAAGAGCCCATTGGTACATAAACATGTAATATCTTATCGCTCAGTCCATGTATTAGATATGTCTTGACATGGAACAGCCGTCAAGACGATGAGGGGTCAAGTGACGTAATGTTCAACGACCTTATTTTAAAGATGGCGACAGTGTGAGAGCGAGCCCGTGAGATTGAATGGGTGAAGGCAAAAAGGGCTGGAAAATACCAGAACGTGAGTGAAATCATTCAGTAAATGGCGCTAAGAAGAGAGACTCAGGATCATCTCTGTGTGCAAAAAAAATTGTGCCTACAATTATAAGAGGGTGCGCTAAACTTTTTCGCTATGCCGACACGCAAATTGCTTTTGCCAGTTAGCCAAGAACATTCCGTACCATTGGGGAATCGGGTTGGTGCAGTGGTTCTTTCCTCGCCTTCCTCTGCGGTTGGGGTTCAATTCCCAGCTCGGTCCACATGTGGATTGGGTTTTCAGTCCCTACCTGATTTCCTTGGGTTTTACCCAGAATATTCCTCTTGGGTTTCCTCCCGCCTCTAAAACTGTAACTGCTTCTCATTGTCTCCTCTCTACAGGTTTCTTCAGGCTTGTGAGCTACATGTACATGTACAGTGTCTGGGGTGCTTTTGAGGAACCTTGGTGCCATTACCAGAAATATATCATAATAACAACAATAATAATAATAACTTGCTGCAGCATATACATGTATTTATAAAACACTCAAGACAAGTCTCATACATGTACTCGTACATGTAGCTTTGTGCACAGGGGTACAAGTGTCCACGTATGGAACTTCTTCCTGGCTTTACAACCGTGGCAGTTTTAATGTACTAAGAAAAATTTTGTGGATAGGTTTACTTGCCAAAGAAATTTCAGTCCTTTTATTACCTTGAAATTTAATTATATATATTTAATATTATTAAATTTAATGATCATAAGTTTGAGCTTATTGAGTGAGTCTTTCAACCTGTTCAGTCTCCCATTTTCATTTTAAAAAAAGTCAGAGAAATGCTATCACCGAATGCATTGTTTGGAAATGCATGTAAATCCTCTTGTCCATGTTGTTTATGACTGATAATATACATGTAATAAGATGTTAATTTCTGATGAAATGACACTTACCTTAGGGTTTCTGTCTTTTTTGTGTACCCTCAGGCTGGACCTTTGATTGGTGTGAAGAGGCCCAAAGAACCGGACGGTACTGTGAAGTCGTTTGCTTTTGTTGAATTTGAGCATGACGTGTCGCCCCCCTATGCCCGCAGTCTCATGGATGGAATCAGGCTGTTTGGCCGCAGCATCGGTGTTCAGTTCCGCAACGGCAGTAAACACTCTGAGAATTCCAGAGGAAACAGCCCAGCGGGTACCCCTCCGTACATGAACAGCAGTGGCCACCAGAGCCCGGCCCTCAATGGTCTTCCAAGCTTTCCTTTGCCTCCAATGATCCAACGGTCCGTGTCTGCCCCACAGGGTTTTCCGGGACTGGGGTCTGGACTCCCTGCCATGGGAATGCCTCCCCCACTCATGGGGAACTTCCCAGTGCATGGATTCTTTCCGGCCGGCGTGGAACCCAGACCTGTCCATATGCCACTGATGCAGCTGCAGCAGCAGCAGTTGGACGGACCATCGGACAGACAGCCACCTCAGCACCATTTCCAAGATCGCCAAGACGGCGTGCGCCATCATCAAAATCATCGTCATCATCCCAGCAGTTCCCCTAATCCTCACCACCGGTCGTCACATCAGAGCCCTACGGAGGAGCAGAGGTCCCGGTCCCATCGCCGCGAAGGCCATCATCACGGACACAGTAGTGGCAGCGACCAGGATAACCGCTACCATAGCAACAGAGGGCAGCACAGCGAGGAGCGGAGACATGGAAGTGAGCAACGCCATCGTTCTCATCAGCACCATCGTCAGGAACGAAGGGACCACCCTTACAGGAGATAATGGTTCACCCAGAGAAATTTTTGACTTTGAAATATGTGACCTGTCACCGCAAAATGAGCTGAAAGTCGGAATTTTCAAAAATTGAGATATTGGTATTTTGAGTTCAGCCGAAAAAGAGCTCTCCAATGGCATGTACATGGAACACTTAGGGTAGAAGTATAAGGTGACAATGTGGCATTATTCTGGCAGCTTTGCGTCTTTGTTCCCGACATTGTTTCAACATTTCAGACCAGGCATACATAATGCTATTGTCAAAACTGCTGTGAAAATGACATTTTTAACTACATGATCCTGCAAAATATTTGGAATTAAATAGGAGACGGGTTAGTCTTTCCAAATGTTACAAAATTCCCAAATCAACCTCCACTCCAATATGATTTTGAACCTTCATAATAAGAAAGAGCGGAATGTGACTTTACGCTCGTTTTGTCGTGACGGGTCACACGTCGTCCCAGTAAATGAAACATCACTGTGTATCAGTACATGAACATGGGTTTTGTGTATCTTTCATGCATGGTCGGTAGCATGTGCGTCGTGTAAACTGTTCTGACTTTTTAGACATTGTTCAAGACACAGGTTTTCTAATATTTTGATGAATCTTGTCCAGTGTCGAACCAAGCAATCCTGGACTGCATATAAACATGGATCTTTCAAACCCTTGTTGATGCACAAGGAAGGCCCCATTGGGATAGTGTCGGGAGATAAAAGAGGGCAACTGGAAAGGGTATAGGGTCTTAACCCTAACACTCCTCAGTCCTCCAACAGGTGAAGGATTGAGGAGGGTTAGGGTTATAAGTACATGTGTATGTATGCCCAAAGTTTTTGTGTAAATTGTGCTTAATTGAATTACATGTACATGTAGTCCCAAGTGGGGATAAAACTTCAGAACATCAAACTGCATATGTATATGTACAGGCATGCCACATATTTAAAAGCAGCCACTTGAAAAGTACATTTATTTTGAATTTGTTGGTTTTATTTTTCAAAATTAGTCCTTCCTGTTTACAAAGCGGAAGGGAAGATCATATCTGGCTGCTGTCTACAGGACCTGTCAAAACACGTTTTTCATTTGAAACGAAAACTGGGAAGTGAATGAAGTGATATGGGTTAGAAGCACGTCCATGTACATGTACCGGTATCTTGCCAGTTGTTGTTTATACATGTACTCCATGGACGCAGCTTAATACGTATGTATCTTTTAAACTGGGTGGGTTCAGCTGCAAGAACCTATAAAATGCCTCCCTGATTTCCTGACCCAGTTAGGTTTTGTCGTCATGAAATTTTGTGACATTTTTTAACATGCACATGGAATAAATTCGAGCAATGTTAGTTGAATATGACACTTGTGGAAATTGGAGATCTGACAATTCGTACAGTTTGAGCAATCTGATGTGCTGTTGGGGGAAATTTGGTGCTGGCTATGTTGTACTAAGACCCCCCCTTCTAGCCTGCTGCCCAATGAAACGGCAACAATTCTAAAAGTGAGGTTCCACTTGCAAGCTCCAAGTCACCACCTGGACAAGATGGATGCTACATATATACTTGTTGCACAACGTTGAAGTTGGAAGCCCTCAGGTGGAACCTGAGGAACTGGCCCTACTTTCACAAAGCCATTAAGCACAAATGTTTTGTTCTGTCCTGTCCATGCAATTATTTTGGCCGGTATCCCATTTCTGCTAAGCAAACATTTTCTATGCTAAGCAGATTTTTGAGCTCAGCAGCTGCAAGACATTCATTGTCTAACATGTCTAAAGCAGGAGTACTTTGCAGGAGTATGTACCTAAGGGCAGATCGCAGGAGGGGGGAAACAAGTAGGTATAATAAAATATTTTTGAAAAATAATGAAAGGTGATTGTTATTTTAGTTTCCTTCCAATCGTGCGTAAAATCCCCACAATGTCCATGTAGCTCATCCCTCATAAATAGTCTCATCTACATTAAAAAAATTGTCACTTTTTGCATAAACCAATTTTGGCCCACCCCCCCCAAACAAACCAACTTTCAAACTTTGGTCATGTTGGTTCGGTCTCAGTATATGATCCACCCTTGCATGTACCCTAAAGGGCAGGTCCAGAACCAAATTTTTGGGGGTGGGGGGGTGTCCTACTTGATTGGAGTGCAAGAAATATGGAAATGTTTCACGTAACCTTTTTGGCCCGAGGCTGCATTTTGGGGCTTTCACAAGCATTTTGAAGAGAGCTGAAATGACCAAGGCCCCTTCACTTGGTGGAGGGCATAAAAATTACACCCCTCTATAATCAGCTCTGATGCAACTGACAAAGAAACAAGCAACACATGTAATATTCAGTGCCAACATCAGTGGTGAACAGTTTCAGTCTTTACGGTATTTTTCTTCTATTTGGCAGAAAAAGCCACATGTTTAACATGCGTAACCTTCCTCAACATGCATTGAAGCAACATGATTACAAGTACATACATGTATATATCTAACATTTCTCACTGTTTACCCTGCGTGGAACACCGACAGCAATTGCGGTCAGGATCTGTGATCCAAAAGCTGGTAAAGTGATGTTGGTCAAGTCACTTTACCCTCAATTGCCTTTCTCCATCCAGGTACAGGTGGGTAAGTGGGTAGCTGTCGGCTGAGAGACAGTACAAGTACATGTATGTAGATGGACATGTATACCGACTGCTGATGGTTACGATTGGAGGAATAAACGAGAACGTGACATCAATGGTACAGACAACCAATCAACAATCCTAACGGCCCCCTTTTAATGACGCAAAACACTTTCTTGGTGTGTTGGGTTGTGTTCAGCAATTACAGTATCTTGGAACATTGGTTGGGGCCATCATAGTGGCCACACCATTGGTGGGGGCCACCGCAAAATAGTGATCAGTGATAGCATTACCATGGTCACCGGATTTGTCTATTCTTATTCATGCCAACTGTCAGAAGTTTCAAAAGAAAACAAGGATGTAATCTTCATCATTTTTACCTGTTGTCTACAAGCGAATTTTTGGTCCTGTTCAGTTAAAAAAAAATTCTTGGTTACAATTGAGTACCACACATGTACATGTACATTGTAGCTTTAATTTGTACCAACGTGACCCATTTCTGAACACAGTGTGACAAGGACCTTAGAGGACCTTAAACCTACCTCCCTAGTGTCTTTTACTAGGAAATGGACCAAATCCATCAAAATCCAACGCAATCCACATTTCTTGGTCTTTGTTGCTGGACCTATTACAGCTAATGTGACGTCTTCAGTACTGTTGCCATGACGACTTACTGCCCTGGCCATGCTGGCAGTGCTTCAGACCTCCTGGACTAAGTCCATCATAATCTATCGACATTTGGTCACCTCCGGCCTACTAGACCGGGTCTATCAAAATCCACCAAAAAGTGGAAGCGGATTATTTTGATGGATTTGGGGTGGTTAGGCATCAACTTGCACTCAGAATGCACAGGGAAGTACACGGTTCTAATGGGAATTTTTCAAACCATTTTCAACTGTTCATTTCTGCTAAATGACTAGGCTGTGTATACATGTACATGTACCTACTGAATGTAGAAAAACACCAACAGAAATTTCAATCGATAAAACATGAACTGAAAACAGGCAGCTCTTTTGGTCTCATGCAACTGCAACAGTGCAGATTCCAAGTGGGGCTACATGCATGTAGAATATTTGAGTATTCGACAAAATATCTGTTCTCAAAATTGAATATTCGGAAGTAAAAATCAATGAAATAAAAGGGGGGTATTCATTTTTTAACGATGGGGATTTGCCCCTAAACCAAGGTTTACATTTTTATCCCTAACCTTCCCCAACCACACAGAATTAAACAGACGTAAAGTGTTTAATTCTGTGGGGATAGGTCTGGTAGGCCCATAACAGCTGGCTTTTGCATTGGGTTCGGCATACCTCAGAAACACAAAGTCCAACAGCCTCTGTGCACAAAGTCCCATATGGATGTTTAACTTTGTGTGAATGGGGAAGATTAGGGCCAGCAACCCTTGGGAGGGTTAGGGTTAAGTAAGGGCCAAAAAAATTTCATAATTAAAACTTAAACATCTCCTGATGTAAAGTACATGTACATATTTGGAAATATCCCATGGTACCAGCTGCCACTGTATGTGTATGTGACTCAGAATAGCCAACCGAAACCCAGCAAGCTCGGTGCTTGATTGGTAAAGACATCTGCATTTAAGCTGTAGGTTGTGAGTTTGAGTCCCACCCAGGTAAGGTGATTGTTTTTGCAGGGTCTCGGTCCAACACTGAGCATACAGTGTTGTGACTATACATCATTGTTAGGGCCCAAAAAAAATTTGAAAATTAACGCTGCCTCGATGCCAAGTACATGTACATCTGTGGGAAAAATTCAATTATTCTTTTGCAAAACTGCTCTCTGTAAGTGTATTTGAAGGTGTTATTTAAAGCTACAATTGATGTGTAGGTCTTATGTATGTAAGGCCAAAATAAAAATAATCAATCACCCTTTCAGTGGTTTTTTTTTCTCTTTTACATTTTTTGATGTGGGATCTAACTAAAATAAAGGTACATGTAATTCCGGTGTGATACATAAACAAGGTAGAGTGCTACTCTAACATACATAACCAAACATTTGAATGTTCAATCAATTCGAAGGCTGAACGTCAGAAAATTCAATTATTTGCACTGACTCTGAATCACAATCGTTATTCCAAGTTGACATCACTTTTTGGGAATACGTCTGTTTACAGTTGACTAAAATTACACACAAAAATGATATAGACTTTGCATTCCAATAGTGCCTTGACCAACTGCTTCACTCATTAAAATGTATTTGGCTTGTGAAAGAGGTGTGTATTTGTAATCAGCTGAGAACTCCAAGATTTCATTTTCCTCACACCTGTTACGTTCTATCATGGCTTGCTTTGATCTACCGCTCAGTCAAATGGGTTCTCTAAACAAGTTTTTTTTTTTAATAAATAGATATACACTGTACAATGTCTTTAATAATCCACATTGGTTTTTAGATTAGCGGCCCCTGAAAGTTGGGTAGTAAGCAACAGACTGTCCACAGCTCATTGGCGACATCAGCGAGAGACTTTGGAAGGGGTCTGTCCAAGAGATGGAACTGTTTTACCCTCTGAGTGATCCGCTCTATGTGATCAGAAAGACATGTATGATCACTGTCCTCATTTCTCTGAGCTGAGGAAAGTGGCATGTCCACCAGAGCACAGTCTATTTCGATGAGCAAGTCCCCGATGCCTAGGCCTGTGTCTGCTATGACCTCATCCCCGGGTTCGAGTAGGTCTAAAATACCGCAGTCCTCAGTCACATCTTCCCCCGAAGTGCCACCATCATACAGGCCACTGACAAAGGTCACAAATCCCCCTGGTGAAATCCCGACCAGGCCTTTGCATGTGACTGTACTGCATCTTTTGACACTGGGACAGAGTTTTTGGTTCACGTTTGCCGGGAACGGAGTCTGGATGGTCAGTTCGGTGCAGTCCAAAATGACGCGTGTCTTGGGGCACAGCTTGAAAGCGTCCGGCAAGAGCCGACTGACTTTCTCTCGTGTGGGCCAGAGGCAAACACTTCCGAGCAAATCGTACAGGAAGTTGGCCCACGTTATGGTCAGCATCGTGACCGCGGATGGTGAGATGCCGTACTTGTCTGCCAGATCTTCGTCAAACGAGCCCAGCTTAACCTTGTTGAGGAAGAGAAAGAACTGGTCAAACAGCGACAGCTGGCACTGCGATCCCCGCCGCTGCTGAGACAGACCTTCCCCCAGCAGCCGGGTAACGGTCTGCCCCCACTGGGCCAGGCTGGACGCATGCGGAAGGACGCACTGGAAGAACGCCATGAACATGGCGTGGGTCTGGAACCCCGTGTAGAACTGTAGCTTGGCCGGATCATTGGAGAACCTCTCCAGGAAGTACCTCTCGGGCCGGCGCAGCCAGTCCAGTTGCTGCTGGAGCTCCTTGATCCGGGCGTTAGCTGCTTGGAGATGCTGTTCAGGATCTCTCACTTCCAGATAGTCATGGTCTAGAAGCTTGTTCAGCGGTGCAACGGTGCAAGAAATCTGTCCAACGTCAATGCTTACCTCATCCTGTACAGATATAGTCGAACACCTGCAGTATACATGTAATTAGGAACATTTACAAAATGCAAAACAAATTTCAAAATGGAAAAAAAGTGCAAAAGCGTAAAATAAATTTCATATGTAGACAAAGGACAAAATAAAAATCCTTTTCCAACAAAAAGAAATTTTCACTTTCAAAATACAAAACTTAAAGAGAGGGCAAAACCCGTAATTACATAAAACTGGAGTTTATACCAAGAGGCTCTGAAATACTGTGCTAAAACACCACAGTCAAACCCCATCAATAACAGCACTGCTCATACAACCTTCTACTTATTATTACAAGGGAATCTTTAGGTCCCAATCCTCTGTTCACCACTATTTTCATTCCTGATAAATAATACAAGGCATCTCTTACAACAAAGTCATTCCCAAAGTCTGAAGAAACCTCTCACTGATGAGGTTCGACTGTACATTTATGCAGCAGTGGATTCAGATTGTTATTAGAAGCAAACCATGCGACACAGAGCTGGCACATACATGATAAGCTGACCAAATCAGCCACAAGTCAAATAGCTCACATTTTGAGGCCAAGACATTTGAATATCACAGAGTGAAATGTATGTTTTGATATTTCCATACCAGGTTCTTAAGAAATACTCTTGCAGACTTTTCACAACACAACTAACAATGTGGAACCTACATGTACATAAAAGAATGCATCCTTTGACATAAACTTCACGTTATTTGTTATGTAACCAAACAACTAACTTACTCCTTCCTCAAACTGCAAGTTGGCCGTCTCCCTTCCAGAACTCCCCCTGTCCACGGAAAAACTGTGGGAGCTACGCCAGGCTTTAGAATGCGTATTCCCGTCAGGGTTCTCTTGAAGTCGTCCGGTTTGAAGTGTTCCGAGCAAACGTAAGTATTTCTTGTTATCTGAAACCGATCACATCAAAAATGTCACCAGCACTGACATTACAACATAAGACCTATAATCGGCCCTGTCGCCAGATCCAGACATGAACCTCTTGACGACGGGAATCTCTTCCCGAAAGCCGACTCCAATAATTCCAGCCTCGCTTGGCCATGAAGGCCACCTGCCAAACCGCAAATTCTTGGTTTGTGGCCCTGCGTGCTCTGCACACTTTGAATTACACTGTGAAAAGGCCGATTGTTCGGTGGCATGCGGTTCTACTCACCCTTCCACATTCCCGTTGCCTCTTTTCAATGTGGGGACTATTGTGAAGCTGGTGATTATGATGCAAAATCGGTCTTTTCATTTCTGGGCTACGCACAAAGACCAATTACCATATACAAGAGCCAGGGTCTGCTTTCTTTCACTGTGTTCGCTCGAGCGTGGGCCGAAAATAATTGCTGAAAAGCAGGCTGAGGATCTCAATTTTTACGGTGTGTCTAGCCGCCTCCCAGCGCAAAGGGGTTTTAAGGGGGGGCCACAGTATCAGCTGGGGGCTACATTACAGGAACAAAATACATGTATTTTTTCATGTTTATGCTTTTTATTGATGAGAATTTGCGGTTTGGCAGGTGGCCTTCGTGGCCAAGCGAGGCTGGAATTATTTGAGCCAGCTTTCGGGAAGAGATTCCCGTCGTCAAGGGGTTCATGCCTGGATCTGGATCTTTTTATTGATGATACTTGATTGAATGCAGAATGGAAGATCAAATACAAATGAAATACGTTGAACAGTGTTGGTCCAAGGATGGACAGAGCCTTGAGGGACACCTGAAGGGACACAAGCCCAGTCCAAATAACTTCCCAAAAATTGGACATGCATGTAGGAACGTGTATTTTGTAATTGTATACATGATACATGACATACAGGCCTATGAGTTAAACCCTGGAAGTTTGGGGTTAAACTAGGGTTCAAGTTGACCTGGATACCAGTTAACTTGGGTGCATATTTTATGGTAGGCCTACGAGTTGACCGGGATATAACAAGTTAGCCCGGTACCCGGGTATGAGTTGACCTGCCCCCAGAACTGTGGGTCCGATGTCCGCTCCTGATTTCGCCAGGGCCTACATGTAGGTACATCGAGTAGGCTTACATGTGTTTTATTCCTCCATGGCCTACATGTACATACGACATAATGGCCTAGGCCTACACGTGCATGCCTATGCCTCCATTACTTGTACAATTCCTCCATGGTTACTGGAGGCTAGCTTCTGAATGCTTAAGCTTGAAAATACAGAAGTAACCCGTCAGACCCACCTTAAAATGGACTCCAGGTTCTCTCCGAATATTCTGAATCCATAGGCTTCTTTGCTTCTCATCTTTAGGGAAGTTATGGAAGGAGAACTCCTTTGAATAGCGTGAGTCATTCACGCACATCGGCACACAACAGTGCGACATTTTTGTTGGCCGTTTTCCAATACTCGACTTCGGCGCCGTCTCAGGCTTGAACTGTTTTTCTTTTTGCTCCCTGACTTTGAAGTTGTAAGCGCAATAATAAATCTGCTAGTGTCACAAAACATCAAGTAAGATGCAAACGAGCCAAACATTAAAGAATTTCAATTTAATTTAAACTATTCAGACCCACAATCGGGGATTGGTTTCAAAGACGAAACCTGAGACGGAGACGAATTGAGTATTGGAAAACGGCCCAGGCCTGGCCGGCCGTTTTATGCAAATGTTATTCGCGGCAACTGAAAACGAGGCTGTACGCGACTCGCGTGTCGCGCCACGATCGAGCAGTTTGAAGACTTTCTCAGGCTGTCAATCAGAGGATAACCTTTAAATTATTTCCTTTTTTAGTTTGGAATGCTATAGATGCTAATTCGAATGGAGGAAGGAAAAGACTGATTCAATCGAACTGCACTAAATTGCAACAACGTGTAAGGCCTACAATCATGACGAAGCGGTGTCAGGGTGTACGGCGGCCAGTGTAACATCTTTTAAGTGCCAAAAAAGAAGTCCGAATATAGTCGGCAAAGCTTCCATCAAGAAACATGATCATACCAAATTGAGGTTTAGTTTGGGGCGTGGAGCTAGACGTGTCTTCGGTGGCTCACTTACAAGCACTGAACAATTTAAAAAGTTCAGCTCTAAAAGTTGTAGGCCTAAGTGATGTTTTCCAGATTCGACAACATCAGATGGGAGACTATCCCAATCCTTGGTTGTCCGTGGAAAGAAGCTGTTCAAGTGTTGAAGGCACTGGTCCAGGCATATAGTCGGGTGAATTTATACTGTGTCCCCGAGATGAATGTGTGTTTGTAGTGACAAAAGCCTCTGCTTTTGTCATCGACAATGCTATTCGGAATCCGATCTTGTTGAGCACTTGGATGCTGAGCACTTGGATGCTGAGCACTTGATGTTGAGCACTGATTTTTCTTCGTTGCTCTATAGGGTAAGCCACCCATGTAACTGTCCCTGGTGATGTACTATAATTGTTGTAGATGAATCTTACAGCCAGTCTTTGAACTCGTTCGAAGTGATGAATGTCTGAGTTCAAATGAGGGTCCCAAGATGTTGAAGCATATTCAAGGATGGGACGAACCAATGCCTTGTAGGCTGTTTCTTTGACATTAGTACTGCAGAACCAAAAGTGCCGTTTGATTAATCCTAATATCTTTTGAGATTTTTTTACCACTTCTGAAACGTGCACTATATGTTACCAGTAGTAGTGACGCCAAGATATTTTGGGGAGTCAACAGTCTGTAGGACCTGACCACAGAACTGGTAACTAGGTCTAGTACCTTGCCTCAGCCCTACAGATAAAGTGGTACATGGATTGAATTTCATCAGCCACTTTGATTGGCGTAGTTCTAATGTATGAAGATCATGTTGAAGTTGGAGCTTATCAGCATTGCAGATGAGGCAATCATCTGCAAAAAGACGAACGGTGGATGACAAGTTCATTTGGTGATCATTTATGTATATCAAAAAAATGCAATGGTAATTAAGGACTGAATCTTAGGGAACTCCGGAGGTAACTGGTATGCATTGCATACTTGGATTGGCAACTTTCTCATTGCAATGAACCGGTAATTCCATAATGACGGAGTTTTAACAATAAGAGATTATGAGGCACCTTATCCAAAGGCTTTGGAAAAATCCAATATAGCTACATCCACAGTCTTTTTGTTATCGATTTGTCGATTTATGTCATGAAGGGTTGTTGTTACCGAGTTAATATTGGTTGATCTCATGGCCCTAAATCCGTGTTGACCGTCACATAAGATATTGAACTTCTCTGCAGGTGTTTCATGATATGGTTGGCGGTGACATCATCGCCAGCAAAATCAACATCTTCCAAGGAACAGCTGTTAGGGTTATAGGACGATAATTCGAAGGATCGGATTTACCTCCTTTTGGACAAAGCAGACAGATTGGCAGTTTTCCAGGTTGAAGGAACGTCATCACTGTCGATGGATGTCTGAAAGACCTCCCGGAATGTGGGAGCCAGTGGGGTATAGCCACAAGTTTAAGTAACCATATAGGTATATTATTAGGGCCAGGTGCTTTTGAAGGAGCCAGGTCTTTAAGCAGCTTTTGTACAGCTGTTGTTGAGATTTCAAGTTTTGAGATATCATTGTGTTATAGGCCTGTACCTTGAAGGTCTGGCAATGAAGACGAGTGATCCAGATTGAATGCTCTCTGGAAACATTTATTCAATATATCAGCCTTAGATTTACTGTCACTGATAAGAATGTTCCCCTGAGCCAAATCTGCAATGCCTAGGTTTTCATTCCGAAGACTCTTAATGTATGACCAAAAGGCCTTAGGATTTGATTTTAAATTATTATGAAGATGATCGCTGATATGCTTGCCTGGCTCGATGGAGATTGCTTTTCATATTTTTCCGAGCTTGTCTAAAAATATCCCAGTCCTGGGCCAGGCCAGATTTGTTTGCTTTTTTGTTTTACCGACGTTTTTTCTTGTTTTACCGTTACCATGGCACATTGTACCTGCTAGAAGAGAATTGATGAGGTACATGTCTTTCTTGAAGTTCCTGCAATTTCTGACTGATAGATGCCCATAATTCTTCAGTGTTTTTACCAGCTGCAAGAGCCACATAGTCTGAATGAATTATTGTGAACACCTTGCAAAAGCCCTTCTTCGTCGGCCTTATGTCTGAGAAAGACCTTTCTAACTGGCAGCCTCTTTCTCTTAGTCGTTTCGTTTCAAAGTCAGAATCTACCTTGAATAGTGGCCCCTCGTCTCGTTTGATCTTAATCGTCCCCTTTTTCTGCAGGATCGCGTTCTTTGGAAAGGAAATCGATGAAAGCTAATTTCTGGCCGTGATCTTCGTTTGCGATTGTTTCAACACGGCACTGAACTAGCTCTACTAAGTGGAACGTTAGTATTCCTTTTTTTTAAATTTTAGACGGGATCATCATACTTGACCTGGATGGGATCGTCACACTTGACGATACCGTCCAAAATCGAAAAAGAGGAACGCTCCACTCATAGCTATCACTGAACAATACGCCATGTTCGCCGACAGCGAGGTATTCCTGGCCCTACAGCCTCATTTTAAGTTTTGGCGCATAAAATTTGCATGAATATTAAGAAAGGTCTGTTGACATACTAAAACGCTGATTCCCCTCCCCCAAACCGACATGAGTGTTCAACAATTTGTCCTCTAGTCTAGCTCAAGACTGGTCGACTATGTGATCTGCAGTTATATTGATTGCATAAATACACTTCATTTTCATTTCCAAACCAACGGGGTATTTATAGGACGCTTTATAAACCCTCGGCCCCATGTGAATGGCCCACTGTATTGTTGACTTCTCGTCTGTTGACAAACATTGCCTGTTGTATGAGCGGCCACAGTTTTCAGAACGTTCAAAAATTAATAGTTCGATCAAAAAGACAATATGTAAGATTCTGCAGGACGCAAAAACAGATGTACATCTTTATCTTGAATATTGGCCCCTATAGTGCCATGTGGTGTCAGTAACCCCCCCCTTCAAATATCGATGTCCAGCAAAGCACCCCTAAACTATTCCCATCCCCTATCCGGCGCAGATGTAGGCCACCGAGCGGTATTTTCCAGTCACCAAGCGCCTAAAGCTTCCCATTATTATTGTTATGTAGGCGAGAAGATCAAGAGCGTTCACGCAGCCCTCACCGATCCGACAGGCTGTGTAGTTGATTTTTTTTTTGTACCGTGCATGGGCAAATAATTGTCAGTGAATTGTTTTCGTTGTAATTATACATCTAGAATGGGTAATTGGCTTAAATAAAGTAAGGGACTGATGAATTACACATAGATATGAACTAAAGTTGATCATTTAAAGATGTACGCGTGTGCGTGATAAAAGATACTGTACAAAGCATCTTGAAGGGAAGACCTGCATTTATTGATTCTGGCAATGGTGAGTGTGAATATGCTATAGGACCCTACCAATCTCACGCAAACGGAAACTAACTGGTGCCCCATGATGGATATTTGCAAACTTCCTTAATTAAAGGCGACAAACATCTGTGACAAATCATGCAGTGTCATGTCCGGCACTATATAACGTAGCCACCAGAGGACTGACGTCGCAGCTCGAGAATCATCTTCTGTAGTGTCATGAAGCGTTTTCGAGTAAATCCACGCCCGAATTATCAAGTCTCAACTCTATCTGTTCACTTGCTGGTTGCGTCTGTGTCATCTTGTGGCACAGATTTCAAGTTGAACACAATCTTCACGTAATTCCAAGCAGCGGCTTAAATAAGGACGGCGCACTGGAGGCACGGCCACCGCTCCACACCAATGCACCTCTGTGTGCCACCCTCCCTCAGAAATTAACGAACGAAGAAACAAAAGAATCTGCCACCGTCTGTGCTTTAACTGGAATTGAACCCAGTCAGCACCCACCTCCAGAAAATGAAGGCCCAAAGTGCCTCCCTGTAAAATGCCACTGATCGCAAGTGTAATGACAACTCTACTGTGCAACGGCAAAAGGTATAGTACACGATGTCAATATGTGAGCATAACTAGGCCTATCTGCAGTACAGCAAGGCAATGCCATTATTTTACGGTGTAACAAGTGAAGGTACACGACACTGTGTTAAGTGCGCCAAATTCATTAAAAATCAACAGGACAAGGGTACGACAGAAAGAAACTGAGGCCCAAACGATGCATCGGCAATTAGAATCAAATTTAGAATGTAAGAAGGAGAAGTGTACAATAGGCGAGCTAATCCACCTCAAACAATATCTAAGGAAATTATATACAAATTGGATGGCAAAGTAGAGATTAAATAACATGGTGGCGGGTACAACGAGCAGATAGGTGGGGCTCTGGCTTTTGCCGGTCAGGGTAGCCGGGGGGGGCGTGGTTAGAAAAATCAGCACTCTCGTCAGGGCTGGCGACGACACGATCATCTGCGAAGAGCACTGAGCCCTTGTGGTCCCAGCCCTCTAGGGAGTGGAGCTGGTCTGAGCCATGCGCTAGTCTGGCCCAAGCCTTCTACTACGAAGAGCACTAAGCC